ACATATTTTCCATTATACAATAATCCTGTTATGATTTCTTTTGTTCAAAACGTAAAGTCTTTATATTTTTTTCAAATAAAAGAGGGGCTAGGAACCCAMTCAACCCCCACCTGGATCCGCCCCTGCCTCGGGATTAGGGTGTTAACCATACCAGGTGTACTTAAATATTGTCAATCACCTTCCTATTGCATTTTTTCTCTATTTTCCAGGAAAGGAGTTGTACGTGCTTCCTATCTGCCACTAAGAATATTACAGGACCCAAAGACAAAATGTATTCAGCCCACACCAGCCATGGATGTCAAGTGGATTGCAATTTGCGAAGATGGAGATCAAGCTTGTAWAACAAAATAATATTACACAATTTGGATTCAACTGATACTTTGATGTTATAAGCCGTGTTTTCACGGAACGGCTGGGCTGTGTTTTTACATTTCATRTACAGTTATTCATGATCTGTGGCAGCAGGGTTTTAACCCACACTGCAAAGTATCACAGGATCAAAGGAATGAGACAAAACGTTCATCCATCGACGTATAAAATCACCGTTCGGATTAAAGAAACACTATAAATAAATAAATATAGCATTGATCGATAATAGAAAAAAAATTAATACTGAATTCTGAACTGGACATATGTGACATTTATTCATTTTCTATTTTATTTTTAACATGCTGATACTGATCCCACTAAATGACAGACTCGATCATCCAAATGCATGAATAAAATGCTCTTTATTTGCGTAGGTGCAGATATTGCTACTTTGCATTTCGTTGGTGATGTAWGTTTTGATAGTGCAGTTAAGTATTACCACAAGCATGGCTCGTGCTCCTACAACAATACCTTTGAAAATGTAGCAGCCGTGTTGAAGCGATCAGATCTGGTGATAGGAAACCTAGAAAACCCCTTTGTACGCGAGGATTTACGAAAGGATGCTCTGATAGGTTTTAACACTYTATTGAGTGCTGATCCAGACAGCGTGGAAGCTTTGAAGTGAGTATCAACACTTAGTAAAACGACAATATCTTCATTAAATGCAAAACGCTTTATCAAGACAACAAGTGCATTCAGATCAAGTCCACAAACTTTGCAGCTAATTAAACTGACATGAMGAAGAAAAATACCGACAGAGAAAGGAAGAGAACCAGCTTGATGCTGTCAATTTCTATATGCCAGTATCCGGATAGATGATCAATCCAGGGCAGTAACGTTAACCCATCAGTGTTTACATTACTCGTAGAAACAACCCACCCATATAACCATGACCATGACATTACTTCTGATACATCATACCGTTTAAGCATGTACAAAAAGCCACTTGGTTTCTTGCATGTATCAGGTTTGCTGGTTTTAACTTGATGTCTTTGGCAAACAACCACCTGGATGACTACAAAACAAAGCCAATCAACCATACAGTAGAGCTGCTGCTAGAACAAGGTATTCTGCCCTTTGGTTATGACATTGGTAGCCTTGGTAACGAGGAACCACAAGTAAGTAGCTTCGTAACTCAGGTGACACGTTGCAGGACCTCATAGTCTTTGTGTGGATTTTTAGCAATCTTCTGTAATTTTGATATGGACGTGCATATGATGTAGAATCTCATACCTCAATTTTAAAGTCGTGCGTTGATTGTTCAACACGTCAACCGGATGAGAGGGTGTTTCAAGTGGAATTCGACGCTGAGAAACCTGAWTTCAACGCTCCGATAAGCTACCCTTAGATCTGATTAAAACAATTGCGTTATTTCAACAATTTACTCACAAAATCCATGTAAAAACTTGGCAAAATTTATTATCTAATTGTTTTAGTACCAAACAAATTGTCTATTCACTTTCAAATTCAGTAGCAAAAAAAAAAAAAAACAAACAAAATTAACTCGATAAAAGCACCGTTTTCAAACGAAAAAATACCCCCAAAACTCATAACGTCACAATTATCAAATACTATGTATTAAATACCTGCATGCTAGTATAATACATTTAAAAGTTTGTCAAGTTCAGTTCATCTACGTAAACAACAATGAAGATAGCATGCCGGCTGCAACGAGTTGAGCGACCTTACCCGTTTCTTGCAGAAAACTAGAGTTGTTTCGCTGTCATTTTTTCTTGAATATTCTATGCCAGAACAAATTATGCGATGAATTTATGAAATGTTTTCTGTACTTGAGTTTTTTCAGCTACTTTTTGATTGAAAATGTCCACTAGTACTCTTTCTTTCATAAGTAAACATGAAGTAGTTTTTGAAGTCGGCTTGGCAAGTCAGTACTACATACTGACTTCACGAGTTTCGTTCGTCCAAAGACTCAAAATATGGTTTTAAACTTGTTTTCAATTCTTCAGTGACAACTTTTCGAAGTCTTTTCTTCATAGATGATGTTTCTAATCGAGCTAAGAGTGGAAAACTGTAGAAATTTTAGGATTTGTGGCCTTGGTCTGACTGCAAGTTTGCCGTCCGCCAATCATCGTCGCAAACTCCTCTGAAAAAACGGTTTGAGCTTGTTTGTCAGTAAAAATACTGAAAAGCCGTTCGCGTGCTACACAAAAATTTTGTTTTAGTTATTAAAAAGTTAATATTTCTTTACCTAAAATGGCTAAAAAACTGAAAATGAAATTCTCGCTCTGAGCTCACGAGCGACCCGCCATTTATTTCAGGCACCATTTATTTCAATTTTGCAAGCGCACGCCCATTTCTATCCTTCTTTTTTTTTCTCTCCTTTAAAATTCGAGGCATGAGATTCAAGGAAAATCCATTGGATGACTCGTGAATTCCACTTCGCGATTCGTGTGATGTCGGCTTTACTCGTGAAATCAACGCGGAATTCACTCGTCACCCAATGGATTTACCTTTATTGTACTATTTACCAGATTCCAGTAACAGCCGAGCTGTACGGTATCAAGATTGGTTTTCTTGGATACTGCTCTACTTATCGTCCTGAGCGGGACTCTGAAGGGCGTATTTTCTTTCATTGTGTCGAGAAACGAAGAAGTCTGGACGCTGGGCCTGCTGTTTACACAGATGAAGCTGCAACAAGAGATGTCAACAATCTTAAAGTATGTCAGCAATATCTTCTTGAAAATCTTTTGAAGCAACAGTTGTTGGTTTGCTAGACTGACAAAAAATATCTGCAGTTACTTAACTTAAAAACAATTAATTGTCTTAAAAACCTCATAATAATTAATGAGCTACTAGGCCAATAGAATGAGCCTATTTGGTCACATGCATGGACCTTTATATCTGATAAAACACTCCTTATTAGTATTCTTTATATAAAGAATACTAATAAGGGTTACTTTTATCAGATATAAAGGTCCATGACCCTAGCAAAGGTCTCAGGTTTGAAACTTGATCATTGACCAATGCAGGATGTCAACCGACTTCAGTGAACAGCCAAGAGCGGTTCTATTTTACTTTATGCGTATTCAATRTGGGATGACAAGAGTGCTTTGTACTGAGTGATTCGCGTATGACCAGTTTGCCCCATTTATCTCTGAACATATTTGTACGGCAATTTCTCTCGTGTTTTAAACTATACATATGATGTTCTAGGAAAAAGAATAAAGCTAAAAGTGTGTTATTTGAAAGATACGTCAGAAAATTATGTTGTAATAATAAAAAAATTAAAACAACAAAATTGATAACAACATAAATAAAAAAATAAAAAGATCACATATTTACTAGAGTTTAAAGCGATTCTGCTGTACAGTTTAAATCAAGAATACTTTGAAATCATGAGATAAAGGGAAGGATGAAATACTCTAATCTAAATTACGATTCAATCATCAGTCCAAGGTGGATATAATAGTCGTCTTAATGCATTGGGGTACTATGCTCAATGGCACGCCCTCACAGCGACAACAACGACAAGCAGAACATCTAAAGTCACTTGGTGTCCATGTTGTGATTGGAAGCCACCCCCATGTTCTTGGGGGACACACCTTTGACGGAAACAGACTTGTTGCATATAGTTTGGGAAATTTCTTGTTTGCACCGAAAGAAAAAAACGCGGTAAAAAGTTAATAGCATGGAGGTCTTTTGAATTGTAAATTAGCTGTGAYGAACGTAGGTTTCGATGAGGGGATCACGAGAAGCATAAGGACGAGTAATACGTTCAGAAGATAYGTTGCATAAACCATTGATAATAGAAAAGGAAGTCAATTTTGCTGCCATTTCTTAATGTTATTTTATACAATAGCTAAACGCCTTATTGCATGTCGTTATTTTTTCTTTATCTCTTTCTTTTGTTTTATTTAAGTGGTTCTACTACAATCGCAGCCCACCAATGACGTGYGTACGCAAGTTTGAAAACTACATGGCAACAGATGGGAAGAATGACGAGACRCTTCAATCACGTATTCTTCGCGTTGAACTTAATAAGTAAGCTATTCTAGAGTGAATTCCTTTATGATAAACTAAACAAATTTAAAAGTTTATTTGATTTCTTGAAGTAAGATTGAAGTGTATAAATGAACGGCTGCTTAACTCGGTGATTCAAAATCCTTTCAATAGCTTTGGTAATAACACGAATAARATAAATTCCTATCTGACTGGAATTATTTCCAGCATTTCTTATTTGTTTCGATATTTATTCTCATCAGTAGCTAAAAGTAAGACATATAGTAGTCGCAAACCGATTGGCTCAGTTGGTTGAGCATCGGATTACAATGCGGGAGGTCGTGGGTTCAAACCCTGGCCGGACCAATACTCAGGGTCTTAAAATAATTGAGTAGAAGTTGCTGCCTTTGTTTCTCCATCTGCAAATGCTAAGATCTTCACGCCCTCTCGGATAACGACGTTAAATCGGAGGTCCCGTCTCTCTACACTTCTCATTAGCATCAGAGGGACGTTAAAGAACCCATACCACGATTCGACTAAGAGTAGGGCACGGAGTTCCCGGTGGTGTGGCCAGGGCTCATCCCACCAGCATTGAGGTCGGCTTGGCGTAGTGTTCGTATAAAGGTTACTAGTCAATGAGACCTAATACTAATATACAGCTAGTAACCCAATGAACATTGCCAAGTGCTGGAACCATGTAGATGTAGATGTAGATGTAGTGCTGAGAGGACGATTCAGTCTCTGAAGTAGGTTCGATCAGAACAGTGTGTACTACTTTCAATGGTGACTTAAAGATCGACATCATGATATAAGAAATCTGCAGGTAAAGACGCGAAGGCAACATCCACACGCATCCCCTCAATTATTGTTTAAGACTTTGAGTCCATCTGGAATCCGAGATCTGGCCTCTCACAATCAGTGTAGTGGTACATGAATATTCTTTATATAAAGAATACTAATAAGGAATGTTTTATCATATGTGACCAAATCATCATATCATCATCGTGCTGTTTCGCACCTAGTGGTGACCAAATAGGCTCATTCTAATAGCCTAATAACTCATTAATTGTGTATGAGTTTATGAAATTAGATTTAAATAAGAGGATTACATTATTTAGCGGCAGTAAAATCACAAACATGAAAACATAACTTTATCGAAAGCAAATCATCTCTCAATTATGTTGTAGTCGTTTTTTTACGATGAAATTCAGAAACAAAGTATAAAGTGATGTCTTTCATTCTTGGGAGAAAGTTGAAATGAGTATGTTCTGTATTTATTGCCAGGAAAGGAGTTGTACGCGCGTCTTACCTGCCTCTACGAATCGTACAGAACCCAAARACCAAGTGTCTGCAGCCAACACCAGTATTAGATGCCAAGTGGATTTCAGTTTGTGAACATGGTGACAAAGACTGCTTAAACTCAACTTAAACTGGAATAACATTCAAATTCTGAAATGGACATTACTACAAAAATGAGTTCTCTGTTTAACTCGCATTGCTTTTCATGACATACTAATTTAAATTTTTAAATTAAATTTGTGATGCATGCACATCAATAATCCGTATTATGAACAGTAAGCAGTATAAACTCATACAAGACCAAATGGTTTACCACGTGTAGCACTAAAGGGATTATGATTCTCATACATTAAAAGAATTATTCTTGTCTCAGCCTTAGTGATTATTCAACARGGGCGGATTTTACAAAGAGTGAAGAGCCGTATTCACGAGATAAAGTCCTTATCTAGYGKATTTAATCGCATTAAATCTATGAAGTGAATAACGTTATCCACCTTTCGCACAACCGGTCCCATTACTTCAKCTTYGGTGAATAGTTGGACTTTTTGCGGCAAGCGATGGGSTGTTTGTGGCAAGGGATAGATGTTGTAGCACAAGAAACATATTTKATTTTCCTTTTAGTTGACTTAAAACTTAGTTATTTTTTGTCAATATCTAGATATTGAAGAAAGATAAGRTTTAGAGCAAACGGAGGAAAACCATGARAAAAATCAAAATAAATACTAACAMRTAGCGGCTATTTCGAGACRAATTGTCAGTATCATGAATGAACCAGAACACAATGAATATGAATCCACATTTTAAATCATGGTTTCACTGCGTTTGCTMTAGGATTTTGAAAGATCATCCAATACTTCTTTAAATATTGTTGAATCAAAAGCATCTTTAGCATTGTTTAAACAACATGTTGGATAATGTTGGGCTGCGGGTGTTATAAAATAAAACAAATAAATCGTTYCCGAGGATACGACAGCTTCCACTKACAGTAATATCAATTAAAGTTAACAATTTCAATGGTCGAGAATTCTCAACAATAGCAGATTGCATTTGTCCAATGCAACTAGTTAGATAACAACCAAACTATTGGACGATTTCCATCGTTAATTTATCTTTCCTTTTTAGAAATGCGTGCTTCTAATTTTTCTCAGTGTTTGTTTGCTCATTTGAAGTCTTGAAATCTTTGTAAAAACTCACAGCCAGTATGTAGTTGGTTGTCTTTGCATCCTTTTGTTTTTAACTAGCTATGGCAGGTCACGTTATATATGCAGTTGTTTTGTGATTTACCTACGGAATAGAAACTATACTTTATGTTAGCATTATACGTTTATTCTAGCATCAAGGATATGATAGAAACCAGATTACTGAATCGTTTGCAAGCTCCCAAGGAACCTTAAAACCAGCTTATGAAATGTTACTGGTTGGTGAATATAGCAATGAGTGGTTGCATTCGCGATTGCAAAGATCTTCTTATTTTTCAAATGTTCTAGATTGTCCAGTGAAGCCCAGTTAAGCATAGTTTTATCTTCTCTTCCCAGTAAGACAAGAACYGGAAGTGGTATTTGCTCGTACGACCGTGTACTGTAGTCGCTGGTATGTGTAGGTGAGATAGCTACAATGCCACTAAGGAGAGTTGGATGTTCCATAAGTAGAGGCATGAGGTATTCACCGCTCTTCGCTGGTGTTACTACTACTGGTGTAATGAMGTCCAAGTTCTGGAACAACTCGATCATGTATACAATGATTTCATCAGAGGAGTATGGGATGGTTGTATTAGATGATCTGCCGTGACCAGGTAGGTCTATTGCTACTGYACGATAGCCTGACTCGCCTATGATAGCAATAAGAACAACGATGATGATATGATCCTGTTTGCGACTGTAAAGGTAATAAATGGCATGTAACCTAGCAACTATTGATCCATTTACAATTATCGAGAATCRAACATTAGTTTCTGTAAAACATCAATATTGACACAATGTCAATAGAAGCAATTATAGGAAAACAATATGAAGGCGGATTTACATGGTACGATTGTCACGTGACTCAAATGAACTCCCAAATTGTGCCTTGTTTGTATTAAAAGTGCCCCTACAACTTGCCTTCAATGAAAAAATCGCACGCAGCCTACAACTTGTAGGAGGATCTTGAAATACGGCGGAAAACTGTATAATACAAGTCGGCGCACGCGACAACCGTACCGTATTCAAATGCAATTATTAAGATAAAGCAATATTCACCTAGTACTTGCATTGTCCCAATATTCACCCAGACAGTTGATGTAAAACCTGAAGCATGAAGTAGCAGWACTGAATTCTTATGATTACCCTTTCCGGGCATTACTTCACGATAAAATGTTGAGTCATTCAAAAGTCCTTGCTTATATTCCAGCCTCTTRTTTCTTTTTAAAAATGCAAGCATTTTAGAATTCGGATAAAGKGACTTATGTTGKTCAGCAATATGCCCTTTCTTATGTCCAGTATAATTGTCAGGTTGATATTTTGTTGTTGTTKGATAAACAATGCTTTTACTAGTACTGCCCTGTGGAATATTTCTTGAGTAATTTGAAGTCTTATGTGAGCGAAATTTTACATGATTTTTTGGATGGATATCTTTCGTTCCAGAAAGAAAAACCTTTCTTGTTTTACCRGTTGATAAGTCATCAGGTTTGTTTTCAGGTGCTGTTGATAATCTGTTTAACATTCTATAAATCAATTTTTTATTCTTTTTCAGCATTTTTAAACGACTTATAATCTTCTTTTTTCGGTTGCTTGAGMTCGTTTTAGGGTAAAATGGGTCAGYTTTTGAGCGAATTTCTTCATCTTCTTCATGAGATGAAACGGCARAATTGTCCTTGTGAACGTTGTGCTTTTGYACTATTCCAGCTCTTKTTGTTGTAATTTCTCTTTCAATTTYGGTTGTTTGAAATTCAGAGTCCTCGTCCATTTGCTYAGTAGGTTTTCCAGCCTTCCATGACTTAATCATAACCGTTGTCCTCTCTTTAGAATCATTTCCTGGGGCWAGCAAGAAATCCTCACCAGTTTTCATATTTTGCTTGTCATTTCCAAGCTGTGTCGTCGATGGAAGTGACGAGACGTGGTAGAATTTATACAATCCATAAACTRCTAGTAAAACTACAGCCAAAGAAATAGCTATCTTGTCATTGTAAGTCGTCATTTTGCAGTGATAGATCCGCATCGTTT